GGTTGTGCGCCACCATCATCTGGTCAATTGTTTCCATGACGGCACGATCGAGGCCTTGCGTCATGTTCATACGGCTTCGCACACGTGCATCCATACCTGGATCATTAAAGTAAAGTTGGGCATACATGGAGCGACCGAAGGTAGGAGGTAGTAACGATCCCATGCGATGACACACTGACCCTTGTACACGGAAGTTGTAGACACCATTCCGTGTCACGCTTTCGTCAACGCTTAGAGGCCGAGACCGCGAAGCTCCCATGGACGTAAACGCGAATACGCTGTTGTAGACCCGGATTGACCGCATGAAGGTCGGGTTTTCGAAACGTGCCAGAAGCGCATCAGGTGCTGTTCGCGAAGATCGACGAACACCAGTCCGTTACGACAGCAGCATCCATCTGTCTCTTGCGGAAACTGCCAAGCATTGCAGTAGTGACAAACCCGCTCGTTCTCCCCGTTGTCGTCAGTATAACGCGTAAAGTAGTGGCGCCCCCCGGAAACGCTGGAAGGGTCAAAACTTTCGTGGTGTGCGAGGCCCTTCTTATACTGCCGAGACCGCCGGCGGAACCGCTCGTGCTCTTTTCGCTGATCCCTTTGTTCTTCCGTCATGGCTTCTCTTCGAGCTCTGTGCGCGGCTCCGTCCCGATCACGCTCTGCTTGACGCTGCTCATACGTCATGTCCCCTCTGTGGTCTCTCCGTGAAGTCGTATTTTGATCGCGCTCAGATTGAGGCTGCTCATACGCCATGCCCCCACTGTGGTCTCTCCGTGAAGCCATATTGTGATCGCGCTCAGATTGACGCTGCTCATCTGACATGCCTTCCCGGCGAACTTCGTGCTCCACTGCATCGCGAATCCTTGCATTTGGACTGGCCTCCTCTGGTCTTGTGGCTCTGTGGTTGGCTTGCGCGTCGCGGCTATATGCTCGATGAACCGAGAGGTCTTCAGGATTCAGTCGACCCCGTCGGACCCTCGCTTGTTCGGCATTACGGCCGCGGTCTCGAATAACCTGGGCTTCGGATCTGTTAGCTCTGCGTATGCGCTTTCTCTCGTGCCCGTTGTTTTTGTGAGCTCGTCATAGCAGCTCGCCTGACGCGGGCTCTTTCTGCATCGCGCGCACGTGTAGCTGCTGCGCTATCGTCGATCGTAGGTCCTGACATTCCAATCTGAAAGTCGTGGGTATCGTGTTGCCTGTCGCGACGCGACTCCTCCTCGAATCGTCGTTGATGCTCCGTAGGATCCTCTTCTTTCGTTTCTCTCACGCTCTACCGCCGGACCAGAAACTCTCATCTGTCCGGATTCAGTTGGTGCTGGGGTTTCAACTAACTCGAGCTGCTCCAATTCTTGGATTGCCTTGCGGTAGCGGGCCTCTGCGCTACGAAGCCTCTGTTTACGGAGATGTCTTTCCTTACGCGACTCTTCGTGGGATTGGGATGCGTTCTCACGCCGGGCTCGTTGTACGCGATCATCAAGTTCATCGCGGGTAATTCTAATCATTGAACAGAGTTAGTCGAGTTAATTGTACATCAAAGCCCGCTACTCAGTTGTTGGGAAATCTTCTCCTTTTCCTCGGGGCTCTTGCCATGTTCTCGTATCTTGAGCTGGACTGTCGCCTGATTTAGACAGAACAAAATCACATTGGCTGTTAGACTCGAAAGTCTAAGTGCACTGGGAGCTATTCTACAGCCATTTTATGAATATAAGCACCAGAGTATGGACACCATAGCTTAAGCAACGTGGTATTCGAATAGAGCCCCGAACTTTCCTTTCCAGTACTAATCCAGAAGCCCTCTATGAATAGAGCACACCACTGTCATTTCCATCCCGGCTCCTCGGATTACAAACAACTTAGGGTATCGTCACTCCAGGCGGCTTGTTGGTGCAGTCAGCTTTTGCTTAGGCTCTCCCCTTGGCCGACGTGTTACAGCCCTCAGCTCACGGTCCGACGGGTCCAAATTACCTTGCACCGCTGTGGACCAAGCAGCTGTACATGGTAATCCAGACGCCGCATCGCGCTGTTGCCTCTTGGGTACGTCAAAGCTGTTGCCTCATCCCTGTTGAGTGGTTGCCCAGGTCTGTTCGATACCGTACAGCCCTTCAGGTCATGTCAGTAGTATGCGCAGTGTGTCCGAAAACGACCCAGCCCCTCACGGGCTCACACAGTTCCGAAAATGCTCTAAAACTGTCTATTATGACGCTATGCTATCTAAGTGTACAGGCGCCGGCTCACTCATGCTCTTAAAGTGCTTTTTATTGTCTTGATCTCTTGTTCTTCAGCTGTCCTTGCACTTGGTCTTGGGCTCCTTGCTCTTGGAGACCGACTGCTGCATTCCCTTCCGTCCCGCCAGAAGTGCTCTCGCAAAGTGTGTTTTGATGTGGGAGCTCACACGCTAAGAGCACCTCTGTATTGCGGGACTGTAACGACTCTTCCGCATGTGGCTGCAACTTCGGTTTGGCCAATTGGCAGCACGCGCCACTCGCTTTTGGAGCGTGGACACTCGCCGGGGGTCTAGGACCCCTAGGCGCGTGCATGGTGGAAGACGCTCCCAGTCACACCCACCCCAACCTGATTGCTATCGCTACCAACTGCCATACCACTTTGGAGTCTCGGGGCAAGCCTCAGACTGTATCCTGAGAGGTCTCTCTTGAATATAAAGTAGAGCAAGGAGCCCCACGCCCGTGCATACATTCATATACATCTAAAACTACCCTGCTGCTATTATACAGCCAGCGCACCTTGTCCTCTTCGCGCCGTCGCTCAAATTTCCAATTTTGTGCTTTGAATGAAAAGTGAGTCGAAAAGTATTGCCCAATCAGGGCGCGAGTTAATTGCGTCACGCGTTTGGATATATTTGCAATTTTGGCATAGTTAGGTCGAGTCACAAAGATAGGCGCGGTCGGTAAGATGGGACGAAACTGTATTAGACAGGCCGAGTGTAGCCATGCGAAAAAGTAGGTAAAAGCAGCAAGAAAGGAACCGGACGGACTTATTGACAGACGGACGGACAGACACGCTGCAAGGTTAAGAGGCGGGAAACTAGCGCTCTGGGCGCCCGCTCCGCGGATGCTAGGGCATGGTTGGTTGGTGTAGAGAAGGTTGGCCGCCTCCGCTGCGCTGCGGCGGATTAAAGAACAATTCGAAATCAAAGCTAAATGTATTATATGTATTACGTGCCCTACCAAGTCCGCGTTCCAAAGATCTCCCTGTACACAATATTGTTGGCGTGTACGTTCCCGTCCTCATCGATGGCCTCTGGATCTACAGCAATCTTGATCGCCTTCCTCGAAGTCACTCTCGACAACGCCACATAAAGCTGCCCATGTGCGAAGACCGGGTGATTCCAAGTAGATACCCACGTGGTGGATCGATTGTCCTTGGACCTTGTTGATAGTCCTCGCGACCGATGGGACCACGAGGAACTGCTTACGCTTGAGTTTGAACGGGAACTCCTTGTCATCGTTCTCACTATAGAAGACGATCCGAGGAATGAACACCTTCTTACCCTTGAACGGCCCGGACATATGTTGAGCTTGTTGAGCAGCGATGAGTAATTTCCCCACGTTTTTGTAGCCGAGCCGCTTCATGATCAATCGAGACAGCAGTAAGTCACCAACCGCGGGTGGTAGCCGCTGCTCCGTGACCCAACAAACCACGTTTCGCAACTCGAGCGGGCCACTTGGTGTCGAAAACTTTATAATGAATCTTGAATTTACTCTTTACAGCCACTGATATGTCCCCGATACCAGTCACCGCAGTACTTTCCGGTAAAGCTTGACGAGCCATCCACTTTCCCTTTCTGGAGAACAGCGTCAGGAGCTTCGTCGTTACCACAGACACTTCCACCGCGCTATCCGGCGTGGTATCTGCGTCTACTGCATCCATCACGACACAGAGGATTGCTGGTGAACGTGGCCTGGCCACACTCATTGCTGGTGCTGCCGCTTCAACACTTCTTTTGCCGGTGCTTTTCTCGTGCAACGCTTTTGCTTCAGTAGGGCTAGCGATGTTTGGGCACTGGATAACACCGTACGTCTGATCTTCACACTTAAAACACTATTTGTCCGACTTTTTTAAAAGGTTTTTGAACGGTGTCTGACTTCAACATCCCATCTCCTGCAGGTTCGCTGGACCGTTGTCCGCTGCCTGTCGAAGT